TCCAGGAAGCAGATGGGATGAGCTGTGAAAAAGATCAAAGACAGCAGGGGCCTGGAGGGCGGATTGATGGACATGTTGGACACCAAATGGATTATAAATCACTTCTGGTTCTTTTAAGTTGCTTCATAGACATCTCATTCTCTTTCCACTCTTCCGTCCATTTGCCTCTTGCCTCTCTTCCACACCCTTCCATTTTCCTTCCAGTCTCTCTGTTATCTTCCTTTGAGCCACAAAGCAAAAAAAAAAAATATATATATATATCATGTGCCAAAAATCTTCCAATGACATTTACATATTCTCCATTAGGTTATAAGTGTTCTGTGATGTTTTACCTTTTGCAAACAACATATCCCCATTCCTGCTGTATGAGAACAAATTGTAGGGCAAGGTTTGTACATTTCTTTATGCTTGATGTCATAGCATAGAGTAGAAATATAAATTTTGTTATTATATTGGCATAAAAGCACATTAAAAGATTAGAAAGGGAAGTTCCTTTTTATATTTCCTGAAAAGCTAACTCATATTAGGGTAATCTATTCTTACTTTAATGAAAGCTTTGTTCATTTTTATTACACATATTTAAAAAGTGCTCATTATGAACAAAGATTTGGCTGAATTTGTGAATGATGCATAAATAAAGCAAGACACACTTTTTGCTTTAAAGAATTTCACAGTTTGGGGTAGAAAGACATTTATAAGCAATTGATAGATGGACTGGGATACATATTTCAATACAGTTCAAAGTATTCGGGAAAAGAGGGAGAGTTCTGGAGAAGTAATGGAATTCACAGTGAGAATTACATAATAGAAAATATATCAATTAGTAAAATTCTCCTGAAGGAAATTGCCATTAAGATACTTGAGCAAAGGTCAATTTGAAGTAGGACCACATAGCTATGTTCTGGAAGAATACTAACAATTGTAGGGTGTATTTTAAGGACTAGAAAATAAAAAATAAGGTTAAAAATTTTTTTCTTTCTCATTGGAGAACTAAAGGCTTAATTTGGAAGCTATTGAAATGATCCAAGAGTCGGAAAATAAATGTGCAGCATAGAAAAGGAGCAGAGGTTGTGAACAGATACATTTGAGCACAAGATAGAAGTAGAATCAAAAGAACTCGATAGGATGTTGAAAATAAGGAATAACATGGGGTGATTGGAATCCTTACAGTGCCATAAAAAGGCAGCCATGGAAGAACAGAAGGTTTATGAGGAGAGAAGGGATAACGTGAAGAGGGAAATGGGAATAAATATTCTATTTTAATCTTGTTTTGAAATGCAAATAGAGAGAAGTCCTATGTATCTCATATGTCATCCTAAAATATAATATGTAAATACTATATTACTGTGCTTAAAGTAACTGTCATATTGGAAACAAAAGAATTAACATATAAAAGAGGAAAACATAAAATAAAAAACTCTTAAGTAATATAAAAGAGGAAAACATAAAATAAAAAACTCTTAAGTAATAAGACCTAAGGGTTGCAAGAAAACCCCATTTAGGCAAGGTCTTATTTAGACAATTACTTGCTGATTGAAGGATATCTTTTTAATTGAGGGGATATATATATTTTATGAGTCATTGAAAAGTAGAATATATTTACATTAAATATTTGAATTTTTAATAATATTTTGATAGAAAAGAGAATTGTGAGGGGAGCCAAGAGCTGAAACATATTTTTTCCTGGTTTTACCTAAGTCATTCTAATAAATTAAATGACCTCTGTAATTATATGTTGTTTTAAGACAAACTTCCCAACAATTACAAATGCTCAACAATTAAATAAGATTATAAAGGAAGCCTTCAACTACTCCTTCTGGAAGTCTTTAAGAAAAACAGAATTGGTGATCTGTTGAAGATCTTCCTAAAGGTTTTTAATTTGGGAGGGCAGTTGGCCTCAATCCCATCCTGAGATTATAGGTGCTCTTGATGCTTATTGCAGGATTTGGAGTTGGCAGTTGTGTGAGTTGCAATATACACTGCTAGAACCTGATATATGACCTCTGTTTCTTAATCACTCATTGATGTGAACAAAATTGAAAGCATCTCAAGAGATTGCAAATAATCTTATGGTCTTTTCTCTTTCCTCTTTCCCCATAATTCTTATTTTTCAAACTTTTAACCTCTTTTCACTTCTGGGTGTGAACAAGTACACAAATATTTTGTGATAGATGTTTTATTTTGTTTGAATTTCAGAGGCATCCACAAAGAGAAACTTTATTTTACTGATGTATCTTTACACTTTCGATCAAGCCAAATCTGGGAATCCTAATGGAAAAAAAAATCAAAGTATATTTATATTATTATAGTTGAAGACTTGTTGTCAAAACAAAATATTTTTTTTTAATTAAAGCTTTTAGCTATATGTAAGTGGTACACTTTATTTGACTTAACTTTTCATTCAAATCTTAACCTTATTAAATTTTTTATTTTGGATTTATTATTTTTTTAAAAATTTTTTGGGCCACATCTGGCAGTGCTAAGGGCTTACTCCTGGCTCTATGCTCAGTGGACCATTTGGGATACCTGGGATCAAACTTGGGATTATGCAAGGCAAGCACCTTACCTGCTGTACTATTGCTCTGATACCCTTAGCCTCATTATTTTTTTTCCAATTGAGGCAGTACTTAGAGGTGTTAGGTAAATGTGTGGGGCTGGGGATCACACCAAGTGAAGCTTAACCCAGGTGTGCATACCTGACCAGTGCTTGGGGACCCTCAGGTCTACATAGCTAACACTGCTACAGGGGAAGGTGTACGATATTGGATAATGAACTCAGGATCTTATGCATGCTAGTCATGGGCTCTGCCACTTGAACTGACTCTCCCACACTGAAACTTCCCTTTTATTCTTCTAATATATGCTTCTGCTTACCTTTATTAAATTAGTCAAATTGAAAATGGCAAAAATAAAAAGTCTATAAACTTTTTAGAAATTAAAATAAAATATGACTATTTGGAATCTAGTACAGAGCCCAATTTTTGGAATTGAATTAAAATAATATTGTGGGTCTAACACTTGGTCATACTAAAGCCAATATTAACCTAATTTCTAGTCTCATGAGTTAGATTCATTATCACATACAGTTTCTTAACAATAGGAATACCAGCACACAAGATCTCATTTGTAGTCAAACCAACAGTAGGGATTCTAGTACACAAGATCTCATTTGGAGTCAAACCAACAGGACTGTTAATAGATGGGAGGGAAATAGATGTTCAAAATGTCTAAAGATCAGGACTTCATTTGTGATGAGTGCAGGTATTTTGGTGAACCATAGAGTAGTTCTTGAGAGGGTGGGCATATCAAAATCACTGTATCACTGTATCATTGTCATCCTGTTGTTCATCAATTTCCGTGAGCAGGCACCAGTAATGTCTCCTTTGTCCTAGCCCTGAGATTTTAGAAAGTGCCACATTCGAGGCTCTTTCAGGGTCAGGAGAATGATATCCATCATTGTTACTGGTTTTTGGCATATTGAATACGCCACGGGGAGTTTGCCAGACTCTGCCGTGTGGGCAGGATACTTTTGGTAGCCTGCCAGGTTCTCCAGAGTAAGAGCTAGATAAGATCTCTGGGAGCTGGGTTTTATAGTCTTGGGTCTTGGCCGTTGATGGGAAAACGGCGCCAGGGTAGTTGGTGGGTGTAATGCCTACATACTGGAAGATGGGGGATCTGTGTGGAGGAGGCCCAGTCCCAATCCGAGCAGGCTTGGAGATCTAACGCCCCAGGTTCCCCACACCTGGGTTCCTCTGCCAGTTCCTTCATGTGTGAGGCTTGTTTGAATGCATGGTGAGTGGTCTTAAGCATGGCTGTGGCTGAAACCAGAGGTCTTCAGCTGCCAGGGCTCTGCTCGGGGTGGGGAGGGAAACTCAACCCATCCTCCTCCAAGGAGCCCCGGTGAGGACAGCCAGGTGCGGAGGCAGGAGACTCTGCGCTGTTCTCTTCCGGGAGCTGGGTTTTATAGTCTCTGGGGTTTTGGCCGTTGATGGGATTACATGGTGCTGGGGGCAGTTGGTGGGTGTAACGCCTACATACTGGAAGATGAGGGATCTCTGTGGAGGAGGCCCAGTCCCAATCCAAGCAGGCTTGGAGATCTACACCCCGGGTCTCACACACTTGGGTTCCTCTGCCAGTTCCTTCATGTGTGAGGCTTGTCCGAATGCATGGTGAGTGGTCTTAAGCATGGCTGTGGCTGGAACTGGAGGTCTTCACCCACCAACTGCTCCTGGTGCCGTGTAATCCCATCAATGGCCAAGACCCAGAGACTATAAAACCCAGCTCCTGGAAGAGAACAGCGCAGTCTCCTGCCTCCGCACCTGCCTGTCCTCACCAGGCCACCCCCTTAGCTTATCAAAATATGAACATGAATGCCTAAACATAGGGATAGTGTAGTCTTTTGTTGAGAACAATTATAGACCTAGCTGTCTGAGAATGTTCAACCAGAAAAATCTATCCAATTTTACAAAATATCTAAAGAATGGAGGAAACCAATATTTCAGCATAATTCTCCCCCACATACCACCCCCACCTGTCCCATCGCAACACTCACAGAGAGAGAAGATATAGAAAAACCTGCGGAAAAACAGAGAAGTTTAGGAAAAGGATAACTCCATGTCTTGAATACTCAAACCCTAAAATCCAGGTGTATTTATTTCTGTTTCTTCCAAAAAGTACAAAAAAGTATGTAATTTTTTTACCATACAGAAGTCTAAGAAAATCTCTGCAAATGAGAAAAACCATGAAAATGATGGGGTGACCTTTATTAACAAAGGATGATTGTAATTATTTCTTAATTTTCCATTTGCAAAACACTTGAAGCTTTGCTTTAATTAAACTCCAGTTTAAAAAGGCTGGACCAGGAGGAAGGCCCCACGGCGTGGTCTGTGCAGTTCCGGGCTGGCCCGTCTCCCCCGTTTCTTGCTGCAGCTGCGTGATCCCAGCACCCCCACACTCACCCCGACACACACACCCTCACACACCTCCCCCCAACACACACACACCTGGCCCCGTCGGAGGGCTGCCCCTCATGGCCGAAGTGAAGGTCAAGGTACAGCCGCCTGATGCGGACCCGGTTGAAATAGAAAACAGGATTATAGAATTATGCCACCAGTTCCCTCATGGAATTACAGACCAAGTAATTCAAAATGAAATGCCTCATATAGAAGCCCAACAACGAGCTGTGGCCATCAATAGACTATTGTCCATGGGTCAGTTGGACCTTTTAAGGAGCAGTACAGGTCTCCTGTATAGAATAAAGGATTCTCAGAATGCTGGTAAAATGAAAGGATCAGATAACCAAGAAAAACTAGTATATCAAATAATAGAGGATGCTGGAAACAAAGGAATATGGAGCCGAGATATCCGATACAAAAGTAATTTGCCATTAACAGAGATTAACAAAATCCTAAAGAATTTGGAAAGTAAAAAGCTTATCAAAGCTGTTAAGTCTGTGGCCGCCTCAAAAAAAAAGGTATATATGCTGTATAACTTGCAGTCAGACCGTTCTGTAACTGGTGGAGCTTGGTACAGTGACCAAGATTTTGAATCTGAATTTGTGGAAGTGCTTAACCAACAGTGTTTTAAATTCCTTCAATCCAAGGCAGAAACAGCACGAGAAAGCAAACAGAATCCAATGATCCAAAGAAATAGTTCGTTTGCCTCGTCTCATGAAGTTTGGAAATATATCTGTGAATTAGGGATCAGTAAGGTAGAGTTGTCCATGGAGGATATTGAAACCATCTTGAATACATTCATCTATGATGGGAAAGTGGAGATGACTATCATTGCTGCGAAAGAAGGCACGGTTGGCAGTATTGATGGACACATGAAACTGTACAGGGCAGTCAATCCAATTATCCCTCCCACAGGTTTGGTCCGAGCTCCCTGTGGACTCTGCCCAGTTTTTGATGACTGCCATGAAGGTGGTGAAATTTCACCATCAAATTGTATTTATATGACAGAGTGGCTTGAATTTTAATGGGATTCATTAAATTCCATGGCATTTTACAAATGAAGTTACTTTGGAAGAAAATAATTTGACTCATGATGGATCACCAAATTCCCTGGGAGCAAACTATAGTATTGGATATCCGATTTGCTGCTATGAAGAATGGTCTTTGTTTAAAATCTACCAAGACTAAATTTTATATTGGTAGAATAACCAATAGTAATGGGCAGGTAAGTTAGTAGTGAAATCCATTCTTCAATAAATAATATGCTTTTAAGTTGTGGAGGAGGACTCCTCTGAAGCTTTTGAGTCTACACACTTCAAGAAAAAAAGAAGCTGAAAGTCATCATTTACTGAGTTCTGTTGTAACGGCTAGAATTTAAAATGCACATTTCAAGTTTAAGATTTTCATTGGAAATTTTATTATTTGGTTCATTATCACTTTCTCTGTTTCTCAGAAGTTTCATTAAGATTAAATTATAAGTGATAAATCCAGGAATAATGGGCGCATATGCAAACTTGGGGAAGGAGGGAGAGAAATGAATGGAATATCCTTTTCCACACTTTAATTTCTTTTTTATTTGAAATACTTTATGAGTATTATGCCACTGTATTTACCATGTCTCACCACATAATCATTTCACTGCATGACTGTATCCTGTGTTTTCAGGAATACTGACAAAATTTTAAGGGGCTGGAAAGATACAGTAGGTAAGGCACTTGCCTTACATGCTGCCAAACCAAGTTTAATTCCTGGCACCTCAGATGGTCCCCTGAGCTCTACCAGGAGTGGTTTCTGATTGCAGTCAGAAGTATAGGCCACCAGTTGTGGCCCCAAAACAGAAACAACAAAAATTTTTATAAGCCTTACATACATAAAACAAGCCCGCTCTGGAAAGAAAGATGGCGGCCTCACGGGAGCCTTGTGGACAGCAGGTTTGAGCCGGGGGTGGTGGGAGTGGCAGGGACCTCATGGGAAGGGGGGCGTTCCGGTCCGTCCTTCACGCCCGACCGAGGTCGCCAGCTGCCCCCCACGAGCGGCTCTCCGGCATGGCCATGGCCCCGGAGGCACAAGGACTTAGCACAGAGAGCCACCCGCTTGGAACAGAAAAGCAAATGGACTATGTGTTAAACTGCGCCAGTATGCCTGCCCGGAGGGGAAAGGGTATTGTCCCGCTCGCCCGCTCCTCTCTGGAAAGAAAGATGGCGGCCTCACGGGAGCCTTGTGGACAGCAGGTTTGAGCCGGGGGTGGGGGTGGCAGGGACCTCATGGGAAGGGGGGCGTAATGGGCCGTCCTTCACGCCCGACCGAGGTCGCCAGCTGCCCCCCACAAGCGGCTCTCCGGCATGGCCACGGCCCCGGAGGCACAAGGACTTAGCACAGAGAGCCAGCCGCTTGGAGCAGAAAAGCAAATGGACTATGTGTTAAACTGCGCCAGTATGCCTGCCCGGAGGGGAAAGGGTGTTGTCCCGCTCGCCCGCTCCTCTCTGGAAAGAAAGATGGCAGCTGCACGGGAACCTTGTGGACAGCAGGTTTGAGCCGGGGGTGGTGGGAGCAGCAGGGACCTCATGGGAAGGGGGGGCCTAATGGGCTGTCCTTCACGCCCGACCGAGGTCGCCAGCTGCCCCCCACGATCGGCTCTCCGACACAGCCACGACTCCAGGGCACAGAAACCAATCTCTTAACTATCTAACTTTTAATAGAAATTCTTCCAGGGTCAATAAGTAAAATAGCAGAAATCCAAAATCGTGCGGCTGCAATAGCGGCCGCGCGACATCATTTTATTCTTAAACCAAGTTGTAGAAAGCAAATCATTTCACAACGCTGTTTCAGCACATCTGATTGGGGGGGGGGGTCGTAAACTCTAAACAATAATTGTGCATCTTCTATCGAAACAATGTATCTAGTCAAAGTAGATAGAGTATTAACTAGAACTCTTCTGCCTCACAGGGATTGGGAGGGGTGGGAGGTGGGGTTCTATTGGGGTTCGCGGTTAAAAATAAGTATTGGTAAAGGGAAATGTGTTTGATATTTACATGACTGAGACCTAAACCCGAAAGCTCTGTAACTTTTCCCACAGTGATTCAATAAAGAAATAAATTAAAAAAAAAAAACCCAAAAGCTCCACATAAAATAAATAAATAAATAAAAAGGCTGGACCAAAACACAGGGGGTATGGTGCTTGATTTGCATGCTGCCTATGTGGGTTCAATCCCGGGCATCCCATATAGTACCCTGAGCCCACAAGGAGTGATCCCTGAGTACAGATCCAGGAGTAACTCCTGAGCCCTACCAGGTGTTGCCCCAAACCAACCAATCAAACAACAACAAAACTAAATAAACCCACCAACACAAACAAACCCCCCCCCCCCAATACCAGTTAGGAAATTTGGCGGTTTGGGTATTTGTCACCAGATTGGTGCTAACCACAGTTAAACAAAACCTCCTTAAATAAGTTTAATTTTACAGCTGCATTTAAAACCTACTTGATATAATAGCTTTTTGTTAACAAAATGTTTATTAAAATTATAACACAATGGAATTATTTGATACATTTTAAGTCTCTATTTTATTTCTGAAACGCTATAGTGGTTAGTTGGTTACTATTATTATCATTTTGGTTGGGGGGCTCCAAAGTGGTACTCAGGGGTCCTGGGCCACTCCTCTGACTACATTATTTTGTAATTTTTTCCTACTGGCCTATTACATTAGACATAGGAATGGTATAATTTAGGGGATGGAGAGATATTATGGTGGGTAAGGTTACCTTGCATGTGACTGATTTGATACTGGAGCCTTTCCAGGAGTGATCCCTGAGCACAAAGCCAGGAGTAAGCCCTGAGAGTCACCAGGTGTGGCATCAAGACAAAAAAAGTGATATTATTTGAGGAAGATTTAAAGAAATATAAACTTAGAAGTTTACACATAAGAATGATATAATTTTGAGCAACATTTAAAGGAGCATGTCACAAGGTACATCTAATTACTAGTTAAAATATTTCAAAGTTAATCTTTATGCAAATAAAAACAACAATAATATATCATCTTACAATACAGAGACTGGCACACATCAAAAAGAACAAGAACCACCAGTGCTGGTGTGATTGTGGGGATAAAGGGACTCTCATTGTTGATGAGAATGCTGACTTCTCAAAACTTTCTGAAAAACAATATGGTGTTCCTCAAAAAACTAGAAATTGAACTTCCATAAGACCCATCAATACCACTTCTGGCAATATATCCCGGAGGGCAAAAAAAGCACAGTAGAAATGACATCTGCACCTGTATGTTCATTGCAGTAAAGTTCATAATAGCCAGAATCTGGAAACAACTCAAGTGCCTGAGAACAAACAATACAATGGAATACTATGCAGCTGTTAGGAAAGATGAAGTCATGAAATTTGCTTATAAGTGGATGGACTGGAGAATATCATGCTAAGTGAAATGAGTCAGAAAGAGAGGGACAGACATTGAATGACTGCATTCATTTGTAGAATATAAAGTAACATAATATGAGACTAACACCCAGAGACAGTAGAGACAAGGGCCAGAAAGATTAATTCACATTTGGAAGCCTGCCTCATGAACTGGGAGAGAAGGCAGTTGGGATGGAGAAGGGATCACTAAGTCAATGATGTTTGGAGGAATCGTTCGGGATGGGAGATGTGTGCTGAAAGTAGATGAAGGATCAAACATGATGGCCTCTCAGTATCTGTACTACAAATCATAATACCCAAAAGTAAAGAGAGAGTAAGAAGGAAATTGCCATGGAGGCAGAGAGTAGGATGGGATGGAGGTGGGGATATTGGTTGTGGAAAATGTACACTGGTGGAGTACATTTGCTCATTGTATGACTGAAACTGAATTATGAAAGCTTTGCAACTGTATCTCACAGTGATTCAATTTAAAAAAGATAATATTTAATCTTTTCTTCAATTTATAAGTTGACACATTTATTTTGAATATTCCCCAAATATCAACATGGGTACTGCATAATCAGGTGTTAGGCTTCCATTGGTATTTGAAGTAAAAATATATTTCTTTAAATATACTCAGGAGGTTTGACAATCTTGGAGGTTTGGCAATCTTGCTAACAAAAATTCTGTAACCCACTTGAAATGCTTGCCCAATATGTTTAAAATTCTAATTTGTAAAAAAGTATTTAAGGTCAGCAATTCTCTTTACTAATGTAATATTCTACAACCTACTTCTAATACTCATAAGTGATGGAAATGACTTTAGAAGGAGAAGCATTTTTTTGTTTGGTTTTTGGGGTATGGCTCTCAAGTGGTACCCAGGAGGCCTGAAGTCACCATCTGTGATTCTCAATTCTTGCCAACTGGGTCAGAAGTTCAATGCAAGGGCAGTAGGATGAGATACTGCTTGCTTATTTTTTTTCTGATTTGGGGACCACACTTGGCAGTGCCCAAGATTTACTCCTGATTATACAGTCAGGGATCACACCTGGTTGACTTGGGGATGATCTGTGTTAAAGGGGATCAAATTTTGGCCAGCCGCATGCAAGACAGGCGCCCTGTGTGCTGTACTAAGGACAGGATTTTCCTGGATACTCTGGCAGGACTAGAGAGCTCCAGGACTGCACCTGGAGATGCTGTGGGAACCATTTGGTGCCAAGAATCCAACCAAGGTAAAGTCCAAGTCTATTGAGGTGCCATCTCCTGATCCAGAAGATGAGGGATTGTGAACAAAATTTTAAAAAAATCCAAAACATCTTGAAAAGAATATTTTCAAGGATTAGGTCCAAAAAGTTTTATTTTGGGTCACACCTTGTACTTCTCAGAATCTTTCCTGACTTTGTGCTCAGAAGTGACCCTTTTGGTACTTGATGGACCATATGTAGTATGGATATGAAGCCTGGTCTGGTCAGATGCAAGGAAAGTCCCTTAACTCCTGTACTATCTCTCTGATCAGGACTAGGTAAAATTTCATTCAAAAATTTCCCTTACAACATAACTGCATTTAGTAATGGTCATCTTCATTTCTTTTTTTTCATAATTTTATTTATTTTTTTCTTATATTTATTGAATCACTGTGGGACAAGTTACAAAGCTTTCAGGTTTAAGTCTCAGTCATACAATGATCAAACACCTTTCCCTTCACCAACACTCATTTTTCACCAATAAGAACCCCAGTATACCTCCCTCTCACCCCTCCCAATGCCTGTGAGGCAGATGATTTCTACTTAACTATTCTCTACATTGGTTACATTCAT